AAACAGTGAAATTCCTGCATTTCATTTCAAAGAACACAAGCCTGACGATGTGATAAAGGACTGTGGAGGACTCTGTAAAAAGTTAGGGAAGATAATTCTTGATAGATGATGCTGCCATACTTCTTATCTTTAAGAGCTTTGCTAGCATCAGGCAGATATTTACATATTAATGAAGACAAACAAACATGTGGTGATTTAACTAGGAAACTGTTATTTGGATGACAATTTAATCAGCATAGGTTGAAAGGTCCATCATTGCAGCATCCTGTTTCTGCTAAAATATTGATTGCATTGCTGATCTCAGTAATGCTTTATTTTACAGGGCACAAATAACCATGTAGTTACTCTTTAATTGAATGATAATTGCTTCTGGGCAATTATTTGTTTTCAGTTTAATTACAAGGTTATTTGTACTTTATAAAATAAAACAAGCCTTTTATTAAAGTTCCCACCCAAATGTCTCTGCTGACGTACACTGTAAAGGAAGTTGTTAAGGTACAAGACAACCAATTCCATACAATAGTGAAATTTTTATTAAATAACTCAGCTGTATCTTTGAGAACTTCAGCTTTATAGAAATAACAATACGTCTAACATTTAGAGATGATTTGGAGGGAAATCAAACCAAATAATAATGATTTTCTCTGGGTCCAGGTCATCTTTTAACATAGTTTATCCTGATAGTTTTTCCCCTTCATTTTGTAAACTTCTTTACAAGAAATGAAATAGTAACTCAACTTCTTGATATTAAAGAATAAACCAGCTTGAAATATAAATCAACAATACTTCATGTTTCTGCTGTTGAAGTAAATTACCATTAGAGCATTATCTTGCAGCTTATAAACTTTTCTTGAGTTGGCAGTTCCCTAAGAGGGAAATTCAGTAGGTCTTTTGGTATCAACAAGATGTGACATATTCTGTGATATATCTATTCCAGTTGTAGCAGACACAGTAGCTGATATGTTGCTCATTAAGATTATGAAATTTCACTATTATATTTATTTTTATTGCATGTTATCAGCCATTTGTGAATCA